GAGAGCCCACTGCGCGCGGGCCGCGGGGAGGCCGGGTGGTACCATCCCGCGTCTGCCCGGAGTCGCCGCCCGGCGGCCGGAGGCAAGCATTGCCCGCCAGGGGCGGGTCTGTGAAGGGGAAGTGAACCTGGGAGCAACTTGTCTTGCGCACGTGGTAAGGGATTTAGACTTGACTAATGAGCACCACAGAAACAGGTGAGGGTTGCTTGCTCGGCGCTTCCGGTTTCTTCGCTGTTGCTAACGTCAGACCCTTTGAAGGGATGCGCTTTGTGGCGAGGTGGGTGCAGGTGGTAACTGAGCCTTGGCACAGCTGCAAGATGCTGGCAGAGGCCCCGGCATGACATCACAACCCCAGGACTTTTCTTTGAGGCTACTGCTTAAGGACAGATGAAAAACAGGAAGACAGAAGAAAGCAAAGAGTGAGAGGAGAGGACAAGAGGAAAGAAAAATTAAGGCCACATCCCCAAGTTGAGTGGTCATCCATCACACCAGTCTAGCCTGAATGTTGGCTCAACGTGGGAAAAATGGCCATGCAGAAGAAGCAAGTGGTAATGACCACAGGGGCCTTGCTCTGCCCTTTTCTGGGGGAGAGAAAGAGAAAGGTTTCCATGACACCCAGAGCCACTGAAGGGTATCCAATGGGAATTATAACAAAGCTCAGTCTTGCTTTCTTGATAGCGAAGTCCCTAAGCGGGTTTTTTACTTGAATCGGAGCACTCAGCCAACCTAGTTTAACAAACAGCTAGTTGCCATATTTGTAAGCGGTGGCCTCCCTAAACAAGAGTTCCCTCATGTATAGGGTAATAACAATACCATGTACCGCTTGCTAGGAGGCCTCATACACAATGTACCTAAGTGCTGCTTATCCTGTACCATCCCCGTGATAAGGGTCATTGGCCAATTTTTCAGCATTAGATCACCAGGTTTACCTCATACTCTTAGTCTGGCAGCTCAATGGAAACTTGTTCAGCCTGGTAAGAGTACACAAGCCTCCAATGATAGACGGTGTCTGTGCAGCAGTCAAATCCAGGTATCCCTCATGGATAGCAAGAACTCTATTATGGAATTATCAATGCCTTATACCATTTTAGTTGTTACTAGGTACTGTGTGGAATTGGTTCCAGCTCATGTACAACAGAAGAAAACACTGCTTATTCCTGCGAATGTTATATCTGAGCCCATAGTCACAGACACTGTGGCAATCCATCCAAGGTCCTCTTCTGTTTCAGTGACCTGCTTTACCAAGCATCATGCTCTTTTCCAGGAACTGGTCTCTTCTAATAGCACAGCGGATGTACTTGAGACAAAGTCCTGTCATCCTTGCTTCTAACGCTGTGCTTCTTCCAAAGCCGATTTGTTTGTTCTTCTGATATAGACCACATAGGTTAAAGAATTAAATAAGAAACGTTATCTAACAGGGTTGTATGAAAAGAAGAGCCGTGATGGTCCAGTTGTGAAAATGATTAACGTCAGTGACTATAGCCCTTTGTCCACTCTGCGGGAGAAGTTATAGCTGTCTGCTTCTTTACAGATTTACAGCCATGGAAATCCCAGGGAACAGTTCTGCTGTGTCCTAGAAGGTCAGAATCAATTCAACAGCAGTGGAGTTTGTGGGGGTGGGGGTGGGGTTGTTTATGCTTTAAGGAGCCCTGGTGTTGCAGTGGTTAAGTGATCTGCTTACTGTCAAGTCAGTAGTTCAAACCCACCAGTTGATTCTTGGCTTGCATAAAGATTACACCTTAGGAGGCAGTTCTAAGGTGTTTTATAGGGTCATTAGGAGTCTGAATCAACTAGATAATAATGAATTTGGTTTTTTGGTTTGGGAAAATGGCATATATTGGAGCTTTAAAAAAGTCATGGAAAAATCCCATTATCTTTTAATATAATTTTCTACGAGCTTTTGGAGCCCCTTTGTATAGTGAAAAGAAATTTGGAAGACAGGTACCTGGCCAATGGACTAGAAGAGATGCATATGTGGCCCCATTCCAAAGAAAGGTGATTCAGCAGAATGTGGAGAATATGAAATAATACCGTTAATATTACATGCAAAAATTTGCTAAAATTCATTCAAAAATGGTTGCAGCAGTACATATAAAGGGAACTCCCAGAAATCCAAGCTAAACTTAGAAGTCAAGGAGCAAGGGATATCATTGTTGATATCATGGATATTGGATGAAATCAGAGAATACAAGAAAGATGTTGATCTATATTTTATTGACTATGAAAGGCATTCTATAATAAACCAAACTATATTATCTATAAAACCAAATTAT